ACTTTTACCTAATATCTGGGAAAATATAAAGAATAGATAGAACCTTAAGTTAGCAAAAATTATCAGCTACTTTTCAATAAAAAAAGGAAAAAAGAAAAAAAGAATAATAATTCCTTTTGATTGTTTGAAAATCAACATACATACTCATAATACATATCTTTAAAATATATCACCAAAATACACAAGCTATATTTTTGATAATCTGTGCATTTGTTATATTAGATAATTATATTTGATAATCTTAATGGTAAGCTTCTTAATTGATATTTCTGACATGTTATATAAATTTTCAAGTATGCAATATTGTATGTATATTACTAACAAATACTAACAGCTGTATAAATATGTTATTTACTAATGTTAACGAGGCCGGGACGAGGTACTGGTACTTGATGGTTTTCAACTAACAAATGTACAGATTTCAATAAAATATGAAAAATAGAAAAAAATAAAAACATGATCAGTAAGACAAGATCTACAAATAAGTCTACTGGCCGAAGTTGCCAGTTCACTCCTTATTTGAGTTATTGCTCTTTAATGACTATTTTTACCCATTTTTGATGTTCTGCACTTTATAGATAGACAGCATCTTTAAATAGCAAAAATGATCCGCAAGACAAGATCTACAAATTAGTCAACATAGCCAAAATCATCAGTCGACTCCTTATTGGAGTTCTTGCTCATATATATTTTATGTTCTTGCCTAGTTATCTTGAAAACTATAAAAGATAGATAGACACTTAAATAGCAAAAGTGATCAGCAAGACAAGATCTACAAATAAGTAAAATTTTGCCGAAATCGTTATTCGAGTGATTGACCATAAATAACAATTTTTTCCCATTTTTTGTGTTTTCGGCAAAAATTAAAAAAGTAAGGAAAAAAGGTAAAAAGAAAAAAATATCGGCATTACAAGATCAACAAAAAAGAGAATTTTGTCATGAGTTCTATTCTAGTCCACAATATGCATATACACCTAGGTGAACGACACAGGCTCTTTAGAACGCCTAGTTTTCATTTCTGAAAGAGAATGGTAACATACACACAAGAAGTCTGCATCTGTAAATGAAAACTGTGTAGATTCACGAATTTATCAAATACATGTAATTTAATTTACTTACATTGTTTGATCAGTGGTAGAAACGAAGCATACACACTGGTAATTTTACCAAATTTTGGAAGTTTGTCATCTACATGCACAATCACACAATTTCAAAACAGAGAGGCGAAAGATACCAGAAGGATGTTTAAACTCATAAGTCAAAATAAACTGACAACGCCATGGAAAAAATAAAACCACCAAAAGACAAATAACAGTATACAAAATGCAACATAGAAAACTAAAAACCGAGCAACGCGAACCCCACCAAAAACCGGGGTTGATCTAAGGTGCTCCGGAAGGGTAAGTAGATCCTGCTCCACATGTGGCACTCGTCGTGTTGTTCATATAAATTCAAACCCGGTGATAAGTCTAATTCGGTAGATAACATTCGATGAAAAGGAAGACGGGATTGTTGTTACGACGATTGGAACATATGATTTCAACATCACCACTTGGAGCTCTTGGTTTAATAGCTTCCTTGTGAGCAGCAAAACTCTATCGTTATCAAACATTTCGTAATTTTGGGTCCTCAATGATCTTCAACTTTGTTCTTTATTTGGCCTTTTAAACTTTTTTTGATTCGAGCGTCACTGATGAGTCTTATGGATGTACTTAGGTGAAATTAAAAAAATTCTAGAATTCAAAATTGATACTATAAGTCAGAAGAGCATTAGTTAAGGAACAAAATAAGCTAAAAATATTGATAGGTTATAGAACTCCTTTTTGAGATATTTGGTTTTTAGAAAATGGGGGGAACAGGCTGACTAGGACTTTTACCTTATTTTTAGTATTGGCATTATTTGGGTCTCATATCGTAAGAAAAAAAATCTAGAATATGCTTTAATTTTGGAAATGCCCTTTTAATGAGCTATTGAAGTCTTCTATGAAAAGAAAAGTGGGTGATATGGGGCAAAATATTTTACCCTGTATCGTAGGAAAGAACTAAAGGAGTCCGAACATCTGACAAAAATTAATAAACCTGACCTGACTACATCCTACAAAATTTGAATCCCTGTTTTTATGATGAGTTTTTTTTTACAACCACTGGGTCGATGCCGTGCGGTACCCTATCGTTGCTAACTTCTACACAATTTGGTCACTGGTGGAAAGGTGTCTCATTTTTATATAACTGAAGTTGGACAACGGGCATAAAGGGCGGGAAATATATTTAGACTGCCACTTGAAATTAAGGATATGTTGGATATAGGAGGACATAATTTTTGCCTGGCAACAGGTCACCTAAGGGCTCCTCGGAAAGTTGTTAACGTACGCGTGCAGAGAACATGGAACTTTCCTTACATGAGGTATTGGATTTAACATCCCTATTCCGACCAGACGTGGCTGCGTATTGATGCATTACACACATCTTAATTTTACCCATTTTAGCAAGGGTTTTACTGTCAGAAGGGAGAAGACCAGAAACTCATATTTCTATACCATACCCTTGAGGTTTAATATTAAAAAAAATAGTAATTATAAATGAAGCAAGTATGATCAAGTATAGATCATATCATATATATATTAGAAGACAAAAGTTTTTGACTTTTATATGTGTTACGCATACTTTACCTGTAAGGGTCAATATCACATATAAAAATCATGTGATAAAATAAGAATATGTGGGGATTGCTGATTAGATAAAGTCCACCAAAGACCAATGGACAAGGATGTAAACTAGACCCCTTAGAGCTACACCCATGGCCTTGAAAAGGATTAAAAAATTCTCCGGGATAATGAAATGTAATTGAATATAAGCATATTTTTTTTTTATTTTCAACATTCATCTTCATTAGTCTTTCTGTACAATCAAAAGAAAATAAAGTAACAAGCTACACGGAACACATTTAATCTTATTGGATGTTGATGCTTACGGCATTGAGAATAGTGTCAGGAGTCCCCCAGACTAAATAGATCCTTACGCTGTGCACTCACGCATGTTAATTGCGAACTGACCCAATATTTTTTTATCACGATCAGTCCACTGATACTGACACATCAAAGGAAAAATGCACAAATTAACGATAATATAATTATATACATTTTTTTTCAAACTTTTAAGGATAAAAGAGGATTATTCAAATTTTGACATAGAAACTTCAACAAGTGCATATTCAACTTGCAAAACAAGAGACAATAACGGGCCCATGTGCTAGTTATGTCAGCTGAATGTTTTCCCTCAGCATTGTGACAACGTCATGATATGTTACTTTTGGCAACATCATTCTACCACCCTGAAATCCTCTGTTATGACGTAACATGCAAGTAAGCAACAACTCTGAGACTTGGTAGAATGGCTTCTATTTTTCGTGGTAAGTTTTTATATCAAATAATTGATACAACCTACAACGATAGGTTTGTGCATAATGGTTTACGTCTGTCCGTATCTCCGCTAAATGGATACATGGTTTGTCAACTTATAAGGGTCATTATAAAAAAACATGCATATTTCGATGAGGGAAATTTCTGGAAACTGATGTCACTGTATATGTCCTGCTATTCTGAAATATGGTAGCAACTATATTCAGAAATATGCAATGGGGAAAATTAGGAGTTCCTTCAATTTTAACAATTTTAGGTCATCCTTTGATAGAATCATGTCAATGGTGTTACCAATATAAAAACATGCATTTAGTTATTAAAAATATTTTTTAAATACCAAACAGCTGTTCCAATTTGATGTTAAGGGTTAAATTACTACTTATTGACATTATTTTTATAGGTATGCATTCTATTTGAACATATATTTCAGAATAAATTGTCGTAAAGAACATAGCTGTCATAATTATGGCTGTTGTTAATATTAAAGTATTCACTAAAACTGAATATATTTAAAATGTGTAGGACTGAATGATAAGTTAATGCCTAATCCTTCGTATACGTATAACAGCCATGTATGAAATTTTCGTCACATTTTTCTAAGAGCTTCCGGAAATGGTCATCATGCTTCATGTCAATGAGACAACTATCCACCAGAGACCATGAGAAATTATATAGTGTGTATCATCTTTCCAGAAATACCGAAGTATGAGAATGTGAACAACTATGTAGGTCACCGTGCGGACTTTAACAATGATGAAAACGTTAACCTTCTAATCTTGTAATCTATCAAAAGCCCCGCAGTGACAAAATGTGAAACAATCAAAAGAGAAAAAATGAGACATGATTTATGCTAAAAACACTAAACAAAAACCGGGCAAGTATGGTCGACAACCTTTGAATAACCGGTTTCTGACATGGGAAAAAGTTCTATTTTCCAAGCTATAATGTTTGTAAGCAACAAATACGCTTCATTCATTGAAATTCAGTGAACACATCATGCCTAGTTTTTCTAGAAAGCTAAATTAGATTAGCGTCAAACTTACAAACCAAGCTCCAATATAGCGGCAATATCGTTATGCTAACTCAGCTGTTTCAGTTTGATTACAAACCCGAGAGCTGACCATCATGCAATTTATTTCTTATGATCATTTAATTTTTGCTCCTTGTCATCAACACCTAGTTTTGTACAAAAGATTTGAATCTGCTATCTTACAATGATTATCCATAAGTTATCTAATTGAAGTTTTTGAGTCATAATTGATATACATTTCACACTTCCATGTCTACTTTTTGTGGGAATCTATTTAGTTTAGGTTCCAAGCACGTAAGTTGTAATCTAATGCAGGGGCGGATTCAGCAATTTTTAAAAGGGGGTTCCCAACCCAGGATAAAGGGGGGTGGGGGTCCATACATATGTCCCCATTCAAAAGCATTGATCGTCAAAAAAGGGGGGTTCCAACCTCCGGAACCTCACCCCTGGATCCGCCACTGAGTTGTAATCTAAACGTACGTCGGAAATCTTAAGAAAATCTTTGAACTTGATTATTTCAATATATAAAACTGTTCATTTTTAAGATATTATAATGGATGATATGGATGATCCTCCAGAGACAGATTGGCAGACAGGAAAAGCCCTTCCAGAACGCTTGGTGTACATGCTCACGAATGAGGTGTTAGCTGATGTTAATTTTATCGTAGGTTCTGACAATATAAAGGTTAAAGCCCACAAAAACATTGTAGCAAGTGCTAGTCCTGTATTTTTTGCCATGTTTGCTGGTCCATTGGCAGAACAGTCTGAAGTACCTGTTCCAGATATAGAGGTGGATATATTTAAACAAATGTTGAGGTACAGTCGGTGTAAAAGTAGGCTTGAAAAATGAAAAAATTCTTGCAGTTAAATCAAAATGGTTTTTTATAGAGGAAGTAGTTCAGCAGAAACATTCATTATTAAATCTAAAGGTACAACATTTGCATTTGCATAATCCATTAAAATTATTCAAAATTGTACATTTATTTGAAGTCATTTTTCCAATAGAATTAATATTAATTTCGAATGTTTGCACAAAAATGGAACTAAGCATTTTGTTTGTTGTAAATATTTCAGGCTAATTTATGCTGACAAGTTTTCCCTGAATGAAGAAAACGTTTATGGACTCCTTTATTGTGCGGATAAATATCTCATTCAAAGCATGAAAAATGCTTGTGTCAGGTTCCTTCATTCCATAATAGATTTAAACCGTGTATGGAATGTGCTGCAAACATCAATTGATTTCACCCTCGACGATCTAAAAATAGAATGTCTGCAATACATTTCAAGGGATACAGTTAGATGCTTAGGATCAAGTCAGTTCCAAAGCCTTGCCAAAGAGTGTTTTTCAGAGGTAATACGATACGAAAGACTGTCATGTAAAGAGGAGCTTGTATATGAATGTAGTATAAATTGGGCTGCAAATCAGTGCCGAAAACAGAATATTCCGGAAAATGATGAAAATATAAGATCCGTTTTGGGAGACGTGATTTTTGCCATTAGATTTCCACTTATGGATGTGGAATACTTTGCTAAGAATATCACGGTCAAAAACATTCTTTCTAAAGATGAGCTACTATCAGTGTTCCAGTCCATACATACTAAATCTGAAGGTTTTTTTTCTTCCGAAAAGCGAAAACAAACCATGCGCCTTCTCCGAAATATCAGCCATGCTGATGGCTCTGTAGAAATGATTCAGCAGTATATGGATAATGCTGAACAACTTTTTGCAGCAACGGATATTTATTGTAAAACATTAGATATCAATCTCCATGGAGTTATTGTCTTTGTTCCGCCATCGAGAACTATTCAGACAAAAATAAGTTTGAGACTAAAGAGGTCACAAGATGACATTGACATAGATTACTTACATTATAGACCAAGGGGCTATCAAGAATACGGAGATAACATAATGAGTATTGAGGGAGACAATCTATCCTTTGTAGAGAACTTTTCGATAGCCCAAGACCTTGATACACACAATGTCCCACTAGAAAGACAGTGTAGACTCAGGAGAAATGTCTGGTATACCATAGAAGCAACGATCACCTTTAATAAGGCTCCACCACAATGGGGAAACTTCTCCAATCGAAATAGAATTAAGAACAGTATTAACAGAATCAGTCCAGCATACACAAGCGACACCTGTCGGGTAGAAAATGTGACAATAGGTAATACTAGTGTAGTCTTCAGACATATCATTGGCAGAGATCCTGGACATCCTTTGATTCATACACTGATTTCTGGTTTGATGGTCAGTGAGGTTTGACTTTTTTATTAAGACTTGGTCAACCTGAACTTCGAAGTTGACGATTGGTTAAACGGATTTTCTGGGGGGGGGGGGGGGGGGGGTCATTTTGTTACCTGCTTTATGATTTGATTGGCTAAAAACAACTTATGTTACTCCTTTAATAGACCTTGATCAAACAAAAAATAATGTTTTTGTTCTATGTACACACCCAAATACATATGCTATTACTTTTTAAACATTGTCTATGAAGTTCGAATAAATACGTAACAAATAAATACTAGCACTAATTTCACGGAATATTAAAACTAACCCACCTGTTTCATAAACATGTTACTCTGATTTTGATCTGAAATTCCTGATGGCTGCCCTTATAACAGAAAACTGTTGTATATATATATATTGGGAAATGCATATGAAACGGTTTTTTTCTCTATGTATTTACATACAGACAAAGAGTGGCGAAAGATCCCAAAGGGACATTCAAACTCATAAGTCGAAAATAAACTGACAACTCCATGGCTAAATAAGAAAAAGACAAATAGACAAACAACAGTACACAAACCACAACATAGAAAACTAAAGACTGAACAACACGAACACCACCAAAAACTTGGGGTGACCTCAGGTGCTCCAGAAGGTTAAGCAGATCCTGTTCCACATTTGGCACCCGTCGTGTTGCTCATGTTAGTACAAACTCGGTGATACGTAATTCGACAGGTCACATTCGGGGGAAAGGGCACAGGATTGTAGTTAAGACGATTGGAACATATGCGTTACCATATGCAAAACGGATATTCCATAACGGTCAACTAACTCGTGATTACGTCCATAAAATTTACGAAGGGATGATTTCAACTTTGTAACACAATTGTGTTCCATACGATAATCATCAGGAAGTAACTACATACAGCAAAACCGAGACGATTACATGTAACCTTTAGACACTTAATAACAATCTGTACGAATATTATTGACATATATCCTGCAGCCACTAAATGACCATGTCTACTGTGAAATAACATGTATCCGTCAGGGGTTAATTGCATAGTTTGACAATTAACCACAGACTAGTATTACTCCACAACCAGACTACTACGTAACCGGCCTACAGCTATGGACCGTTTGTATGGACCACTAGACTATATAAGATCTCTCATTTTGGACTTCAAGACACAATTCGATCACACCAGAATTCGTCAGATCTCGGCCAGTGTCTCAGTGAAAAACATTTATTTGAACTTTTAATCGCTCTTTGAATACTTGTAAATTAAGCAATAAATTCTAATTGACAAGTATTAGTTAACTTAATTGACTTCGCAACATAAGTCAAATTGGTGCCGTTCAGACCAAGGATCAACCAGGACTTCTAACCACTATACGATAGAAAGGAACCACGTAAGTTGCAATTACCATAGCTTTCATTCTTTTTTAATGGATAACCAAGATACTTCTATGTCAGCACAAAAAGTAGAATTAGCTTTCAATGGTGTCGCGAACGAACTTCATGGGTTAAGGGAAGTAGTTACTATTCAAGGCGATGTAGCCGCCGAACTAAAAGGGTTAAAATCAGCCATTTGTTCTCAAAACGTAGTTCAAGGAATAACGCCTTTTGAAGGTAATACGAAAGATTTTAAAGCCTGGATTAAGTCAATTGAAAAATATGCTTTACTTTTTAATGATAGGGATCGAATTAAGGAAATAGCTTTTCAAACATGTAAAGGGGCTTGTTCAGATTACATACAAAGGTATTTAAGAGACCATCGGGATACCACTTGGGAACAATTAAAAAAAGAATTAACTTCAAGGTTTGGAGAAATTACGGACCCTCAACATGCGTCAACTCTTTTGAGACAATTAAAACAAAAAGGGGACGAGTCTGTTCAAATTTATGCAGAAAATTTATTGAATTTGGCAAATGAGGCATATTCAGATTTAGATGGAAATAATGAAGCTATAGAAAGGGAACTCGTAGGCATTTTTATAGATGGTTTGGCTCATTCTTATTTAAAAATGAAATTAATGAGAGAAAACCCAGCTACTTTTTCTTTGGCAGTTAAAAGTGCAATGACTGAACAAAATTTGAGAAAAAGATTTACTTTAAGAACGGAAAGGGTAGACGAACCAAGGTATAAAACAATAAGACCAATGACATTAACTAGACCACGACGGACTGAACCTTTGAACTCTCATGAACCAATGGAAATTGATCATTATCGTGATGCAAAACGTTGTTATTCTTGTGGTAAAGTAGGTCATGTATCACGTGATTGTCGTTCTGGGGGAAATTTGAGACAAATTAATGCCGTAGAAATGCAAACATATCACGGAAATTCGGGTAGAAACAGGGAAATTAATTGTTATTCTTGTGGTAAGGTAGGGCATATAGCACGAGATTGTCGTTCTAGGGGAACATATAGACAAGTAAATGCAGTTGAAACGCAACAATATCAAGGGAATTCGGGAAGAAATAATGAGATAATTTGTTATCAGTGTAATCAACGGGGACATATTAGGCCAAATTGCCCAAATAGAAAACCTAGGACTGTTAACATGGTAGAAAACTGGGGTGTATATCAGGAAAACTAAAGCGCTCTTGTCACGTTGAAGCCGGTGATAAGAGTAAAATTGAAAAGAAATTACCTACTTATTCTATAAATGTTGCAGGAGCTCCAAATTCAACTTTAATTAAAATTCAAAATCAAAGATATAGAGCTCTCGTAGATTCAGGCGCTAGTGTTTCTTTGATACACAAAAGAATTTTTGAAACTTTGAGGGATAAACCAAAATTACTAAAGAAAACGGCTAACTTAAAGTCCGTAAATGGGGGGTCTTTACATGTAGAAGGTTGTGCAAACCTTACATTTAAAATAGGTAGTACAAAAGTTACTCAATTATTTTATGTTGTTAGAGACATGAACAGAAATGTTATTTTAGGAAAAGATTGGTTAGTACAAAATGGAGTTAGGTTATATTTTGATTTAGGATGTTTAAGAATTCAAAAAAATTATGTTCCATTAGAAGAAGATATTAATGTGGCTTCAATTGTAAGATTAACCGTAAATGCCGTATTAAAACCACAAACAATTAATGTTTGTCCCGTAGGCCTTAAGAACAATCCAAGTTTTGGAAGTACTAAATTGTTAGAAATCTCACCTGTAGCTTCAGGGTATGTTAGTACAGAACCAGGCTTAATGATAAGTAATACGGTGGTTAATTTTAATAAAAATAGGAAGTTTCCTTTGATGATTGTAAATAACACAAACAAATCAATTAGGTTAAGAAGAGGTTGTGTAGTAGGTAAGGCTTCTCATTTAGAAGAAATAAATTTAGTCAATGTTAATCAATCACAAGAAACTTCGGAACTCAAAAAGTTAGATGAGTCTGAAATAAGTGTACCACAAGAATTTAAAAAGGATATACTTAGAATGTTAAGGGATAATGAAGATATTTTTGCAACTTCAGACAAAGATTTGGGGTGCACTGATACAGTGCAAATGACTATTGATACCGGGGATCATCCACCTATCAGATTAAAACCCTATAGGGCCCCTCTCAATCAGAGAAAAATAATAGATAAGGCTATTGAGGAATTATTAGAGGCTAATATTATTAGGAAATCTAGGTCGGCTTGGGCTGCGCCTATTATTATCGTTTCTAAAAAGGATAAAACATCAAGGATGTGCGTGGACTATCGCAGCCTGAACGCAGCCAGTAAAATTTATTCCTTTCCGTTGCCCCTGATTGATGACTTGCTTGCTTCAGTAGGTAAAGCCAAAGTAATGACATCGCTTGATTTAAAGTCAGGATATTATCAGGTAAAGGTCAAAGAGTCGGATAAGGAAAAGACTGCTTTTGTATGTCACAAGGGATTATTTGAGTTCAATGTATTGCCATTTGGTCTCGCCTCAGGGCCCAGTTTATTTAGTGAATTAGTTACAGAGGTACTACAAGGGTTAGAACATTTTTCAACTGCTTACATAGATGACATTTTGATATTTTCCGAAACAGTGGAAGAACATTTAGGCCACATACAACAAGTTTTTGATAGATTAAGACAACACAAACTAAAATTAAAATTGAAAAAATGTAATTTTTTGCAAGATGAAACTAATTACTTAGGCTTTATAATAAGTAAAGATGGACTAAAACCGGATCCTGAAAAGGTTAAGGCCATTCAAGGCATGAAAGCTCCCTCGAATGTCAGGGAAGTTAGAGGATTAATAGGTTGTTTGAGTTATTATCGCAGATTTGTACCTTCATTTTCAAAAATTGCGGAGCCTATAGTTGCCTTAACTAGGAAAAACAAGGTTTTTGATTGGACCAACACTTGTCAAGTTGCTTTTGAAAAATTAAGGGGTGAATTAGTGAAAGTTCCCTTATTGGCATATCCAGATTTGAATAAACCATATGTGCTTTACACGGACGCTAGTGATAATTGTGTAGGTGCTTGTTTAACGCAATTACAAGCCAGCCCAATAGAGGGTGAAAATGAAGTTGAAAGACCAATTTACTTCCTATCTCATAAATTGAGTGATACGCAAACACGTTGGTCAACCATTGAAAAAGAAGCCTTTGCGATTCATTATGCCTTACAAAAATTGAATCATTATTTGTATAATGCTGAATTTGTGATAAAAACAGATCACAAACCTTTGAAATACATTCTGGAATCACCAATGCAAAATAAGAAAATTCAACTGTGGGCATTGAACATAACGGGTTATAACTGTACTATTCAGTATATTCCAGGGCCCCAAAACGTGTGTGCAGATTTTATGTCTAGATTACCTTCAGATGAAAAACGAAACGAAAATCCAGATCCGTATCCGGATATTAGTGACAATACTTACGAAATTAATGTGATTAATTCAAATAGATTTCATTTTTCTGATTATGCAAATAATGATAAATTAGTTGAAGATATTCCAGAAAAAGAAAATTTTCAGTTTGAAGAATTTGATATGTCAATCGAACAAATGAAAGACAAAACATTACGTGAGTTAAAGGAACAACTTGTAAGCGATAAGGTACCCGAGGCAGTGCAAAACAAGTACATCATAATAGATGACATACTTTATTACATTTCAAATGTAGATAATGATCCTATTATAAGGTTGTACATACCATCTCATATAAAACAAGCAGTTGTAGAACAATATCATGATAAGAATGGGCACATGGGCATTGACAAAACATTTGATTCCATTCGTCAAAAATATTTTTGGCCAAACATGTTTAAGGAATTGTATAATTATGTCACTACTTGTGTACCTTG